GAATTGCACAAAACGCATGATCGCGTCGGCTAGTCTAGTGCGCATTGCTATTTATTTCTTCATATCACTAACTGAGGCTCGTTTTGTGCATTTGTTAATAATTTCTGCCATTTTAGCACCACCGCTAATGGTTGTCGAATTTTTACACCGTGTCATTGCCACATTCACGGAGTATTTTGATGATTTCTCCGACAGCGCAGTTAAGGAGAATTGTGTTATGGTCTTTGAGGTATTAATTTTGCCTTTGGTTTAATATGACGTATTTCTGTGGTACCTGATTTGATTTAACATCACCAGATTGACTTGTGTGGACTTGATCATCAGTGAGTTTCAGCTTTTGGACGAAATGCTTGATAATGGATTTCCTTTGGCCACCGAATTGAATGTGCTGCAAGAGCTCATCAAGCCTCCCAATTTCCTTCGAACCATTGCCAATCAAGTAATATTCACAGCAATTCTGGATAATTTTTGCATTACATTGAAAGAATATACACCTCTCTTTTTGTTTTGACGTTTTTTCAGCCTAATTTCTGATAAAAGATCTTTCCATTTTGCATCAGTAGATGGGAAGTTTAATTTTCATACTATAAATATTTGATAGCTAAAAAAAAACCTTAAAACCATACAAAAACCTTATTAGATATTCGTCCCTTTATCCCCGTTTCTGGTCCTATTTTTGGAATGCACTTGCATTCACAGACGTTCCACTTTGTTATTTTTCCTTTCAGTCCCTTTTTTTTTTAGTTACCAAATATTTGCAATACCGTTTTTCAAAAAATCGCCCAGACAGAGTTCAAAGATCATAATTAGTCCTCAAACTCTCCATTAACCATCTCCTTGATCAATTACGCATGAACTCCATCATGAACGAAAACTTCTGCCTAAAATCTGTAGGTAGTTGGGATGTCAGCTTTCTTCCTGCTGTCCTATGATCCTCTATTTAGTTATTTTCAAATTTACTTTTCTTTGTTGTCTCTTCCTCTTTACTGCTATCTCCAGTTCTTGCCTGGA